TTGCAATACTTTGAAAATATATTGAGATTACTTCTACACTAATTGCCATATGGCGTGAGTTACTTTTTAAAAGGAAGAGATACAATTCAGCGCAACAGAGTCAGTTGATTATTCGTTACGATATCATTTGGCGACTGTCAAAAGAAATGTAATGTTTTCTTTATACTACGTTATCGCTATTACCATTCATTCACTTTACAGTATTTCAGGTTGCTGTGAATTTCCCTGTGTCCGAAGTGACTTCGAATTACGTCATGTCACCTCCCAATTGCCTTCGAATTGTGACATGTGGCCTCCGAATTGCCTTCGAATCGTGGCAAAAAATTAGAAACAAAAAAGTGCCCCGAGTTTCTATAAAAACGAGCCGCGGAGCGAGTATTCTCAGATCTGCCGGTTTCAATTTCGACGATCGAATATTTCTAGAAGAAATTACTGTATTTTCTTACGATAAAGTCCAATTTTCACAACACTAAGATACGGGACTTGCGCCATTTGTTAACTAAGAGGCCCTTTCATCGAAAGCTCTCGAAGAACGAAAGTCAAGAATCATTGTAAAATGACTCCCACTTGCTCGAGTTTTATTCGAAGGAGTTCAGGACGCTTCAAACATGGCTTTTTTTCTATATTGACGCAGTGGAACGATCCCCTCGGGTTTTGATTTTCGAGCGTCCTCGGTTCAAGTGTTGAACCCCAAGCGAGCAACGTCTTCGGCTCGATATTACCCCTAATCTGCCTTCTCGAAGGAGGCACACGCTTTAAAATGATTTCCATAAAATCGAACGTTCAAAGCATTTATTATTTGCTTGAAATATCGTCGCTCCTCCAGCGAACTTCCCTGACAAATTCTGTCTTGATTATGTCTTAAGAATTTGACAGTTTCTACGGATGGTTCGACGATATCTAGCCGCGGTGATAAATGGAATTACAGACGCCGTGTAATCACGCGACGAGGAACGATCAGTCAACGGCACATTGAGAATCTGGGCCGAGTTTACCCTACTGCCAAAGAGCATATTAACGCGTCAGATCGTTAGGGTTCCGCATCGTGTCAAGCGCACACGCTCCGCCAGATGAAAATACGAAAACAATTTCGGCGGATTAATCGCTGGCAGATCCATGTAATTTTCTCGCCTCTGATATATTCGTTTAATTTATCGTCTATAATTTGCGAGCGCGAATTACGAACTTCGTTTCAATCTTGTTGAACACGTGAACTACAAAGCAACGGAAACAGCAGTTTCAAATCTTTATAATTGTCAACCCTTTGCGTTACGATTTCTTTTCAATAGCTACGTTGATCATCACTTCTTCGACCTTAATAACTTCCCTAATAGAACGAGACAATTTTTCTTTCGATTTAAACAAAAAATGATAATGTTTAGTAGATTATAAATATTAATATAATATTAACTTAATTATAACTTATATATAATATAATATATATACATATAATAAATAAATATAATATATATATAATATATATATATTAGTTATTATAATCTAGTTAATATTATATATATCCGTAATTCGGGTGACGCTGATCTGACTACTTACAAAGGATTTCCGAAAATATTTCGACAAATATTCTACAGGAGGTAATGAAACTATTGAATTCTTATAAAAATGCTTTATTAAAAAAATTATTCGCAGTGTATAACATTAAAACATTCTCTGCAAAGTTGAGGTTGATCAGGACAGCTTGGACAAAAAGTTGTTTGTTTTTTCAGATATGCTCGTGCCTCTGATCGGTCCATTTCGTATCTTTTATTTGAACTGTAGCTTCCTCAGTATCATCAACATTTCTTTCTTCTTCCATGACCAATTCTTGCAAAATCTCGTCAATATAGTATCTTCATAACATTCCTTATCACTAAGATTATATTTATCAGTATCCAAATAAGAATCTGACGATGTAATTTTATTTATGCTTCTCCTTCCGGGCAATCCGATCTCTTTTCATTATTGAAAAAAAAATAGGGGCAGAGATTTTAAGTTATACCATTCGGTACTCGGCAAAGATTCCCACTGTTCATGCAGGAACAGAAACAGACATGAATTAACAGCGCACGCTTCCTATAGCGGCACGGGTGGCCTGTAGGAGATTTTGTTGTAAATACGCGTGGCAGTCAACGTGTTAATTATTTGCAAGCAAATAATCAACAGATCGACGAAGACAACGTTAAACAAGTTCGACCGATATTTTGAAATTCTTCGACGATCATCACCGAGTCCTGTCGTATGTTTCAGGTGAAAATCTGGTTCCAAAACCGGCGAATGAAGTGGAGGAATAGCAAGGAGAGGGAACTGCTAGCAACCGGTGGTTCTCGGGAGCAAACATTGCCGAACAAGAACAACCCGAATCCAGACTTGAGCGACGCCGACGGAGACAAGCCTCGAATGGACTTGAGCGACGTCAGTCCCGTGACGAGTCCTCAGCAGCCGGAAGAGCAAACGGAAAATGAGGAGGACGAGGAGATCAATGTCACGTGAGAAGACACCGAGTAACATCCGACCGGAAACGTGTTCATCGTTCGACGAACGAGGATCGAGGGATTCAAGATTGAGAGATTCGGAAACGGTGATCGAGGTGCACCGGAGGAAACCAATGTAAACGAAGCTTCGCCTCCCTAGACCCTAAGCGGAAGATGCTGTTGTGTCTGCTCGATGGAAGAATCGCGACGGATTCGAGATTCGTCCGCGCATTAGTCGGCCGAATTTTGGTTTGGTGCGCGGGAAGCTGTCGGACGATTAGTTTTCGAATTTCATTTTTGTTCGAACGATTAGTTTTCGAATTTCATTTTTGTTCGAACGATTAGTTTTCGAATTTCATTTTTGTTCGAACTATTAGTTTTCGAATTTCATTTTTGTTCGAACGTTTAATTTTCGAATTTCATTTTTACTCGAGTTCGAGCAAATATTATCTCTGGCTAATTAAACAAAAATTTACGCGAACGTGTGTTGCAACTAAACTGTGGATTTTATGCGTTTGTGAGAAAAATGAGCGGATCGAATGCGAAATAGCAAAAGCATTTAAAGAATTTGAAAATATTGTTGCGTTATTTGCAACCGATTCAAATGATTAGTCCATTAACTGGCACGATCGACATTTGGGGATTTTGGAATTTTACGTACACCATTTGGCGCGAAGAATATAATAATCCGGTGCGTTTGACAGTTTAATGTAATTTTATACAGATCTGTCAATATTGTTTATAACAGACGGTGCGTATTTTGTGTTTCGTTTCTTTTCAACAAATGAACAAATTTGGAAATTATCTGTAAGTTGAACGCAACAAAATTATCATGTTTGAAGCATGATATTTTTGATTTGGTTTTTGTATTATAATTAAATACCATTCATAAGTATGTAATTATTATAGTAACTATGTGTTACTTACTCAATCTTTTGTTTTTCGTACAATAAAAAAGAAATTTTCTCTTTTTGTATTCATGCAACTTGCCACAATCCCCATATGGGACTTTTAAAAAAATATAAAGTATTTTAACAACAAAACATAATTTGAATGCAATTATATTGGTACACAACTTTTTGTGCGTATACATATAACTTTTCCCGTAAAAAAGCATAAAAATTGCCTGCATGAGTTGCAAGAAATAGAGACTGAATAGCAAGTTCATTCTTTCATTAATCTCTTTTAATCGATTAAAAATAATAGATCGACATTTTTAAATTCCTTTAATCTTTATAATAGTTTAAATTGTAACTGCCCAATTTTGTCATAAATGCATAAAATCGACGGTCTGGTTGTAACGATTGAGAAATGTTTTTGGCACGAGCAAAGGGGCTCGACAGTTTCACATGCACCAACGCAATGGAATTACGTGGATTCAGTTAATTATGATTGTCGAAGTTCTCGAAGAAAATTAAGAATTCGTTTCGAGATGAGTAGAAAGAGTAAAATATGGTCGCCTTATGTGCATCCTGAGGTTGTTCGTTTTTTTTCTTCACAATGATTGGACTGTGAATTTTGTGCGTTCATAGAGATACGCGATCGGAAATTGAAATTGTAAAATCACTTGATAACGAAGCTTTTTTTAAGTCGTACCTAAAAACAGATTAATTGGGCAACGAAAAATTGAGCAGAGCAATTATTGTTTCAGCCGTTATTGTATTGCGAGTGTTTATGCAAATGACAATGTTTACAGTCCGTTTCATATGAACTAATTAAGACAAAATAATTTAATTAATTGACACGTAGAGCGTATAACGAAATGAAATAAGACCGTCTGATTTCAGTGTTAATTTATGAATATATTTTTACAGACGTGAAGATGCATAAACATTCATAGTCGTCTAATAAATGTAAATTATAACAAAGAAGTATATCAATTATATAAGAGTACATATACTTTTAGTTAAGCGACGTACTTTACGAAAATTTCTATGGGATCTTAGACATCCCAGGGTGTGCCTCCAAGTTTAAACTTTCCTAAAACAACATATTCTAATCGTGTTTCTATGGGTGCATAAAACCAACAGCCCGATCATTCTACTGCAAGCAAGGTATTTCTAAAAATCTGGATCATTTCATACGGACAAACTCTATATATTATAATAATGAAAAGAGCTCGTGCAATTTATTATTTTAATATGCAGAATTGATTACCCGCAAATGTTCGAAATTTTAAGGAACACTTTGTACATAATTGTTTCATCGTACTGCATTCGATTACTGTATATACGAATGGTGGATCTCATAGGAACATAAATTAAAAATATACAAAAAGAAAAATGTAAAAAAAAAGATGTAAAATCGACACAAGACCTTGGCCCGTTCCCGAATATACAGCGCTAGAAAGCTTCGTCGCGTGGAAATTAATCGCTTTGGACAATGGGAAACCGTAGCTTTTTATTTTGTCAACTTCGATGGCGGTCATTGTGATTTTCTACGTTAGCATGGACAATATAATAAAATATAGAAGATAATCTGAACGACGGGAGAAATATATGTTTGCTTGTGTAATTAATAAGTATAAACTGAATTCGAAACAATTTTTGTTCGAACGGATTCCAGATTTCTATGTATGTATATGTACAATCGTGCGCGCACCACGTTCGGATCACGGAGCCAATGTTTACACGTCTACCATGAATACTTTCACCAAACGCAATTTCCAAACTAAATTGAGAAAATGTATTATATTGTAATTAGAAGTGGATGTAAGTTCGCGACTTTTTTCTGTAAGGTATCGTATAGGTTGTACTAGACGTAACATTACAATTCCTAAGATATGTACCTAAGGTCTAGATGTAACGCCATTCGGCATCGGGAAAACAACTGTAATTATTCATTGTGATGCACTATAATCTGTGTAATATATTGCAATAAAACTGTCTATGCCAATTATATCATACTTTTTCCCTTCATTTTGCTTTCGTCTATTCGAACGACAATAAATAGGATGCTGTTGCAGATTGTTATTTTGTGCAATGAACTTTTCATGAAACACAATCTTCCAGCTTTCGTTTAACCTCCCTAAACGTAACAATTATGTACGGGAAAGCATTGAAAAAATAATTTATCCAAATCTCGTAGTATGAAAATTTGTCACGTGTTATCGCTAATTTCAAAGTTAATACGCAATAATAACACATTAGAAACGTAGTGAATTGTTCGTTGGACTCTCCTGAATCTATATTCTGCAAAAAGTTCCACTAAAAATCGTACAATACAGAAATATACAACAAAATAACAATAAAAGCATTAAAACACGAATGACGATGAAACCTGGAAATACAATAACGAAAAAACGTAAATATTTTAGTAAACAATAATTATCTTGATTCTGCATATCGCATCCATATCGCAAATTCCTATAATTATAAAAATTTTAAAAATAGGCTTTTCGATCAACTATGTATATCTCTTCTGTATGCACAGTGCAGGGTCGCAGAAAAACATTAATTACAATCAAATTAGGGCATAAAAAATTAAAGCAAGGACGTATAATTGTTCAGGAGAATCTGTTGCATCGATATCATATAAAAAAACAGATAACATCAATGAAAAACATAATTAATTGCATTCTAAAGATTAATTAACTATTATGTTAATTAATTATGTTTGACAGTATTGTCATTTGCTTTTTTTACACGATATCGATGCAGCAGATTCTCCTGAACAGTTCTGTGTTTTTGTTAGTTTCTTTTTTTGCCTAATAACCCCATAATTAATGTTTTTCGGGAATTCTACATACTACATATGTGGGCGACAGTAGCGCCACTTGTGATGAAAAAATGAAGCTCCGTCCGGGGTTCGTACAGCGCCAATTAGTACAGCGGCAAAACGCTCAAACTACTAGCCAAATTTTTGGCTAACAGTTTCACCGTTTTGCCGCTGTACTAATTGGCGCTGTACGGACCCTGAACGGAGCTTCTAGATTTTGCCACAAGCGGCAGCACTGATCATAAATGGCAGTTCGTCAGTGCTGCCGCTCGTGGCGAAATCTAGAAGCTCCGTTCGGGGTTCGTACAGCGCCAATTAGTACAGCGGCAAAATCCTGAAACTACTAGCCAAATTTTTGGCTAACAGTTTCACCGTTTTGCCGCTGTACTAATTGGCGCTGTACGAACCCCGAACGGAGCTTCTAGATTTCGCCACAAGCGGCAGCACTAATCACAAATGGCGCTATTTTTAAATTTTCAGAAGCATTTCGAATTGGATTTTATATTGAATTTCTGACAAAAACCTTTATTAGGTATAATAGCAATAATAAATATCGAGAAAAGAGAACTAAAACTACGGATGAAGTATAATTTCGTCCTGTATAAGAGCTTGTCATCGTTATAAACTGACCCACGAAACCATTATTTCTTTTGCTGATCATGCAAAAGTGGAAGTTCAGAATCATGGTAAAGAAATTAAATCGTTATTATTATCTGTTATTAAACGTGTGAGATTTATGCATTCTATGCAACTTGGCTTGTGCATTGTGCATACGTTGGCACATCGAAAACCGAGGCGTGGACCCTCTGGTATATTCTCTATCTCTGCTTTGCTATGACGTACATGTACCATACCATGCACACAGAGAAATCTTCATGCACACATGCCTATGGAAGTGCAATGAGATGCACCATCCTTGTGTGCCTAAAACGGAGCAGCCGTGAATGAAAAAAGTTGGTTTCATCAATTAAAATGGAAGTTTTAAACCACTTCGATCGCATGGATGACAGGTATTCGCCGCTTGATTTTTATCAATTTTAATCAAAGAATAGTAATACACACAATGAAAATAAAAGTATCACTACTACTAATTTTAATAGCAAACATACATTTTGATAGACAATGTCCTTCGATAATTTTCATAGCTGAATTACAAACGGAAACTATTTTATGATTCTATATGTACATACGGTTCTTTTTTGGAGCAAACAGATTCGACAATGACCCTTTAAATTTTGGTTATAAGGTTCACAGAAGATTAACATTCCTTTAATTTTAGTATTTTAATTCTAATTTATTATGTTTCGATAAATCTTCCCTAAACATTTATTTTTTTGCAGTGTGGATGACAAAATAATTAGCAATGATAATGTTGGGGTCGTTCTAGAGGAAGCAGAAATAATAGATTGCGACACAGAGATAGATGCTGCCACAGAGGAAGATAACATACGCTATCACATATGTCAAGTAAACAGGAATGATAATGGAGTTGCATATAGAGTAGTACAAGTTCAGGATAGTCAACCGAATAACACAGAACTGTCGGTATCTGCACCATTGAATAATGCTGTCCAAGTTTTAACATCACCTATAAGTGGTCAGTTATATGTACTCAGTAATAGCAATGAAGTAGTTACTACGGAATCGACAAGAACAGTCACACCTCGGGTTAAGCTTCAAATTGGAGATAATCCCCAAAATATTCTTACCACTATCAAAAAGGTAAATTTTATTGTTTATTATATCATAACACTTATCGTATAGTAGTAACAATAATCAATAGATGATTGTTTATAGAGGGATGAAAGAAGGAGGGTAACGCACAATGAAGTTGAAAGACGGCGTAGAGATAAAATTAATAATTGGATTGCAAAGTTGGGTAAACTTTTACCTGATTATGAACAGAGCACAATAGGAGACGGAGATGTAAAGACGAATTTTGAGTTACAGGTAATGTATTAGAATTTCAAAACATGTTTACAATGGGATCAAATGCAATTGCGTTGTCCATAATCTCTTTCATTGTTATTTAAATGACAGAGTAAAGGAGGAATATTGGAAAGAGCTTGTGAATATATAACAGAGTTAAGAGATGTACAAGAAAACCTTCAACAAAGTCTAGACGAAAATGCACAACTTTTGGAAGAAGCTAAGACTTTAAGGCAAGTTGTGACACAATTAAGGAAAGAAAATTCGGAATTGAAAATTCAACTCTCAACAAATGCCACTTATATACTTGGCACTTAGTAGATATGATAACTATTCAATTTCTTTTTTGTTAGTACAAATTTGAATATATATATACATATATATATATTACACAGTTTTAATTGTACATGTATGAAGTTTAGTATGTGGAAAATGTGCGACCAAGTGCAATAAATTAGTTATATGTAATAATTATAAAATGTTTATTTACATATATTTAACTGAGTATATATTTATATTATGAAAACAATTTTAAACATATCGTGTAATTTCAACTGTACATATCATAAACAATAAGTATTTATAACGTGAACAATCGAGCAAAGAGACCAATTTATTATGAAATCATTAAATTAGATATACAAATATACAAAACATCGCGCTATATAATTAATAGTTAATCATTATCCAAAAGTTATGTGTCGTTTAACTTTAAAGTCACTTATTGCCTACACTGTTTTCACTAATAAAGAGGTCTACAATATTTACACTTACAAGTTACAATACCAACTAGCTATTTACATAAAACAAAATGATACATTATTGGTATCAGTTGTTTCCAACGTATTGTTGCAGAAAGCATGTGCATATTAATGATGCACAATGCACGCGTCACGTTAATTATCAATATGCACATACAAGGTAACCAATATCAAATACAAGGGAAAGTGTATGCGTTTACATATATATTTAACAGCTTAAACTGTTATTACTGTAACGCCTAGTAATATTATTGCTTCGAAGCACATTATTTTGCCGTTTGTGCAGGATTTGTGTCAACGTATCCAGAGTAATAGAACAAATCACTTGTTCAGAGTAATTACAAAGAGAATAAATATTAAACTATAAATTTTATAATCGTCAACATTTGGATCTTCGTCTATCGTATAAGATATGTAGAGTGTAGCCAATACAAGCAACGAACATTATTCAGATTCAAAATTCTTGTTAACCGGTATTTGTACTACTACTCTGGTAATTCGCAGAAGTTTCATTTCTTGACCCATGAAAGTGAAGTTCATACTAATGAAGTATTCTGAGTTGCATACTATGCAGTATTATCGTTTCAGCATTTATAGTTAGTGCGAGACATCCTCTTCTTACGTTTAGTTACATTGGCCATTAAAACTGTTCTTACATAACAATGCGTACAGAGAAGCGTCGCATTGAAACAAATAAATTTGTCCTATAAAAATAACTCTTGAGTGAGTTAAGTTCAGCAACAAATGTTTCGCTTCTAGTCTAAAACATCAACGGTTAGTGTTCTCTGTACAGTCGAGTAGGAATCTTGCTCCTTCATTTCATCATCATATTGTCCTCGTCGTATAGTAAATATAACGCCAGAAAATAAGCAAAAATATATTTCTGTGAATTGTTATTCCGTTCGCAAACATCGTTTGCTTTATTTTTTTTTCTTTTTTTAACGACTTCCATCAACTTGCGCCCGTATTCGAAGACAGAGAAACATGAAAAATTCGCGGACACAAAAAGTAACGCCTTAAAATATCGTGTTTATCCGTTCTCTTTGTTCTTTCTATACTCGAAATCTAGATTTACGCATCGAAAAATGACGAGAAACTATACGAATCGAACGAAGACGCATTTAGTAAAACAGATTGGCAGTGTTAAAAACTTTCACGATCGGTGTGCATCAATTTTCGGAAAATGTTAATTGGAATTATCTGTGACGACGAATTGCACAGACAAGTGTATGTTCACACAAGTATGTCACCGTTAAGTTTATATTACAAAACACAGAGATTTTTGCTGGTTGACTGGCTCTCGGCACGATATATTCTCGTAACACGTTTTCTTCTGTACAAGAGTAGAAAAAACTTGAAAGATATTCTTCTTGGGAGTTCACTTTTGGAAACTGCTTCAGCCGCAGTAGAAAAAGGGGGGCTTGATATGCGAGTATTTACATATTTAGTAGTACCTGTATCTCTTTAATACTGTCTCTCTGTTACGACGTAGGCATATATAATTTTCTCCGTCCCAAGTTAGCAAATTTAAAATCTTCGTACAAACTACCTTGAGTATTTTACGATTACTGCTTTTTTTTTTTAAGTTGAAGTAACAGACAAACCTTTTAGGCAGTAAAAGGAATATATAATGTGATTTTTGCTTGAGATTCGTTCTACGTGTATCTGCTGCGGATACGTTTCGCGTCACTGAGAGAAAAATCATCGGGCACCGCCCGTTTAACAATTTTATTTTAGTGTGCGTTCTAAAAGTACTATCTAAAAGTATCGAACAGTGGAGTATATGTAAATGTTCTTCCAGGCTGAGACTACAAATAGTTGGCTATGGTGAAACTTGCGTATAGCATCACACTTTTCTCTCAGTGGTACCCCAAATATGTGCCGGTTCTTTTCGTAGACATCGTGGAAAGCATTCCTCCTGTCCTCAGTCTTTCGATTACCATAAAAAAGAAACGTATGGTCATTGCTAATCCGTTCAATGCTCGCAACACCCATTCAAGCAGTCGAGTAACAATAAAATTCTTTATCACTGTTGTTTATACGATTGCGTGATAAAAGTGACTAGTACTTTCTCTTTAGTACCTCGAAAGCTCGCTAGTTTCTTTATACATGTATCATCTACGTCTAACAAGAACTGCATTTATTTTTTTTTCTAGTTTATACTGCATTTTTCGTCAGCTTTAATGCTTATTAACACGATCACTTTAATAATTCTCTCATTCCCATCGTTCGCTATAATTTCTTAATACGTTCGCTGTTAGCTGCGCGACACACGATCGTCTGCCAAAAATGATTTCCGTAAACGTTTGCTCGCGTGCGATATAGTCTCCTCCACTACGTGGGCTCGATTAATTTAATTTAACAATATTCATCAAACAATCACTTCGAACAAACAACGTTTATTATTTACTAGAGAAGTATAAACGATAATACCTTGTCACTCCGTGCAGTGATCTGTTTCTTTTTTTTTCTTCTGAATGCAAGATGACAGAGCGCGTCAATGAAGAATCATTTTTTCCATGAGGCAGTGAAATAAATATCGTTGGCGATGCAGACTTACAATCTCTTTTATCGAACCGTATACTTTTTCAATTAAATAATATTACTAAAAATTCGACACGTGACAATCGGTAGCGTTCTCTTGGCCGGTCAACAGGATCCTATATATCAATGCCGTCGAGTCGATGATGCGTTCGTTAAATGAAATTTAATGATCGTATAAATCAATTTACCTTCGTCCCATACATGTGACCAGCGCTTAGGATCGTTTGCGTTCCCAATGAGCGAGAGCAAGTGCAATGTCTAGTTTCCGCGGCGGAAGGAAATCGGGCTAATTATCCTCGATGAAACCATACAACGGTTTCTTAAATGTTGAGTAACGTGCAATCAGGTCTAGATCGTGGAGCAACGATTAAGCGCATCTCGTTCGAGGTTTACAGGTCAATGTATGGCACGAAGGTAGGCCTGTCTCAGGACGGCTGAGGTCGTGTGCTCTTTTTGCTGCTACCGAACGTGAACCAGGTGCCAACCTTTCGTCCTAACGAGTTCGTCGCGCCTTGTCCAACCATGGTAGGCATGTCGTAAGCAGATTCTCTTTTGTATGTTTTGTCTACGATCATACACAAGACAGAGAATTAATTGGTGCTCTCGTTAGTAGTATAGCGTTAGTAGTATAGCATAGTATCAAAGCGATCGTCTTACTGCGAGGTTTGATCGGCGGCCTATTTTGTTGTCTCGCTGCCACGAGCCTGGCCAGTTGCCTGGCCGCAGTTGGGAATTCCAGTCCGTCGTTTCTATCCTGAGCAACCAGTCTCCGTTCCTCCGCCATGGCTGCCAACCATCGACGCTTCTCTTCCGCCGTGCGGCAACAGAAAAGCAACCATTTGTCTCGGACGCAGCTGTATATTTTCAGACAATGTCTCACCGTTACTCCCGACTGATGATCTGCGGATAAATATTCTAATTGAATAAATAATACTCTAATCGAACACAAATAATCGACAGGATCTGTGCGAGAACTCTGGAGCCAGAGTGTTCCACATCTAATAAATTTTACACGTTTTCTACATCTTTGTTGCTCCTTTCAGAGATCTTTTCTGCCCTCCGCTGAAGCTCAGCGCGACTTAGTACGCTCTGACTCGAGGGCAATTCACAGAAAGGTCTGCTTAATTGATTAATACACATTCGAAATTACCTTTTCCATCGGGAACGTCGATCACCTCGCTCGTATCGAGGTAAATGCGGCCTTTAAACACGTAAGTGTTCCGTTTTATGATATCCTTTTTACAGTAAACCAGCTGATGATCGAACAGAAACAGGGTGATGTTGTTCGTCCACATGCCAGTGGTGACTCTCATTGCCTCGCCTTGATAGATTAACTGAGACGAGACTTCTATGAGATCCTCACCCTGAAATGAACATTACATCGTTTCAGATCTTTTGTAGACAGCGCTTCCAAGAAAGATAAGAGAATGAAAAAGAATTTATAAAGAAGAAGAATTTATAATAAATCCGCACCTCCCAGCCCTCGACCCTCAATTGCCAAGCTGCCAACTTCTCGAGGCTCTCCATTCGCCGTTTCCTTTCGTTGATCAAGACCGCGACGCCGCGCATCGCCTCGAGAGCTTCCTGGATCTTATGGTAATCCGGGTGATCGGCTTTCGTGTATTTCAACAGCTCGGCCAATTGGAGCGGATATTTACATATCCGTTGGACGGGCGTCAACAAATACCCGTCCAAAGGTATCTCGATCAAGCCCCTCATTAGTCTACAGGCTTCGAAGAATTTGCTATAACGATTGTGCTGGTACAGCTCCTGCAGCGTGACGGTGGCCATCGGATGACTGTTGCAGTACTCCGAATACATACGGAATCCGGACCTCTGGAAATCATTCGAAGATTAGAACACGGTCAATCGTGACACCGAGGAATATCGTGCACGGAAGAGGCTCCGAGGGGCGTCCTTACGTGATTGATGAAACATTCGCCGACGCAGCTTTTGTACGGAGCGTTCCAGTCTATCCTGGACTCGAGGTCCTTGAGAAACTTGGACTGAAAGTCGAGCAGCTCCTCGAGGTTGATGAATATCGTCTCTATCTGCTCCTCGTTGAACATGTCCGTTCGTCGACGACACTCGGCGATGTAGCCCTCCGCGACGTCCGTCAGAATCTTGACGAAGTCGCGCTCGGTTTGCACCAACTCGCGGACCACGCTCGCTCTGACCTGCTCGTTCGAGAGCAGCGAGATGCTGGTGCGTCTTCTTAGCTGAGAGTTAGACGTGCCGCCGGATGCCATCGCCGCCAAACAATCCTCCACCGTGTCCTCTTGACTGACACGCAACTGGAAACATCGACGTTCCATTCTGACATACAGGAATCCAAGGTTCTGAGATTAGTTTCTAGCGAAGTGAACGCCTTACCCTAACAAACGCGGCTGGGAACCAGCCATGCTCGCCTCTGCAGTTACCCCACCACCAATCTTTGTCCAGGTTGTCCAGAACTTCGATCACGTCTCCGGCACGAAAGGCCAGCTCCTCCGGCTCCATCGCCACGTGGTCCCAAACAGCTTCAGCAAGGATCACGACCTCCTCGTCCATCGTCTGCTCGAACGACTTCTTCCTGTCCGTCAAGGAGGCGATGGAGGACTCCGAGTCGGACATCATCTCGTCGTCCGACGTCCCGCCTCTGCCGTCCTGTTCGTCCTCCGACAGGACATTCCCACCGGGCAACCTCGCACCTAGTTTCAAACGAACCGATCGTCATTCATCTTCGGAGACCAAGCGAAATCAGATCGTAAATTCTCGATGATCTGTCTGTAATACATTGCGTAACGGCCGCGCCGACATCGCTGTTGCTGTCACTTTTGAAATCGCAAGAAAGCAATCACGTATTCGACTAAAATCACCCAGCAGATTGTTCCATCGTAGGCGTTGGCAGCGGAGGATTAAAGAAATCGTTTATGACGTTTTGTGCGTAACGAGGCTCGCCGATTGTTCTCGTCGAGCGTATGTGCTTTCGTTAAGGTGCCGTAAGGTGCCGGTATCTTTGAAGGATACACAGCTTCCTCGTCGATTCGTTGATAGCTTCGCGAAACTGCCCGAGAACAATCGGTGTCTACTTGGTATAGCTTGCAAACAAAAGCGTATTCACAGGAAGCAGTCCTTACAGAATGAAGATATTAACACGTTTAATACAGGTGTGTGAGCATGTGCGTTTGTGTGTATGTGTGTGTTCCGCATTCCGTATTCTCAAGAACTCTTCTTACAGGTGCGTTTTGTTACAACGATATGAATGCTTTAAGATCGTTACAAGGATGCATGCTAACTCGGAGCACTCTCGGAAGTGGCGTCTAGAGAAACTGGATACCATTGGAGCGGAAAGTGTGCACTAATCTCTGTCAACGGGCTTGCTACCAGTGAGTCTCTCCCGAGCAAACGAGCAAATGTCATGAACAATCTCATAGAATTTCTTGTATCATGTTTAAACAAGACAACCAGAGTATTCAATTCAGAAATCAGCATTCGATAGATTCCAGCTTTGGAAAAGCTATACAGTAAATTCTCCCCAATTGTTCTTCAGTTTGTAAACAAAAATGGACAATTTGGGAGGAGGAGATACGATTATTCGAGTTTTCTGCCTTGTTTTTATAGTCGTTGATAATCAGCAACTCGAATAATCGTATCTCCTTTTCCCAAATTGTCCATTTTTGTTGAAGAACAATCGGGGAGAATTTGCTGTATATCTATTTTTCTTAAGGCACCAGCTTTGTCAATTTTCCCAGCACAAGTTTAACCCTCGGATGGCGAACGCCGGGCCCATTTGGAGCCAGAGTTACAAACATTCCATCTAAATTCTAATTTTGTGGCAGTCGTATGTAATCATTAGCCAGTTAGCTGTGTTTGACGAGTATACTCGTCATGGGAAAAAAAGTAGTTACCATTGGCTATTTAAATTGTAATTTTAGTGAAAACAAAAACATATTCTCAAATTTCAAGATGTTTAGAATATTTTAAGGGGGACAATCCTATATATATATAATATATATAATATATATGTAATAATGTATATATACACAAAAGTGTTTACATTATGACAAAAATATGATTAGAAAAGTATCACGATATTGGTATTCGACGTGCTAAGTGTCATTATGTATCGTTCCTTGCTTTGCTGAATACCGCTCTACAGCAGCAATTTGAATTTTTAACTTTTATAAATATTTAATTTTTCCTGCGTTAAGTGAATTCATTAAGTGAATTTTCTGTTAAGTGAGTGAGTAAATATTAGTAATAAAATTGTCAATTTTATAAAATGAAACTGTCTTTTTGATCCAATATTTTAACAGCGATGGGTGCGCGCTCTGAAAAGGAGGCGCCACAGCTAACTGATTAACACTAGATTTACTGAACCCGTCAAAATGACGAGTCACTAATTTTTTAATTTATGATTATTGATGATTACTTATTATTATATTAAATTATATATAAATTAATATTATTAATATAATAATATTATTATATAATATTAATATTAATTTAATAATATTATTATATAATATTAATATTAATTTAATAATATTATTATTATTAATATTAGTATATATTATTATAATATAGTTATTTATTCAATTTATATGTTACTTACGACAAATGTTACAGTAACACTTGTTAAGATCAGAATAAATGTCTTATTGTTACTTTTATAAACTAATACAAAAAACAGCTGTTTGTTCTGCTCCGTAAATCTAGTGTTAACTATTAATATTGAAACTAATAAAAGAATTAACTTCGGCTGCCATAAATGCTCATAAATATCCGTCCAAAGGTTAACTGATGAGTGCAATTTGTTGTGCTCCGTAAATCTAGTGTTAACTATTAATATTGAAACTAATAAAAGAATTAACTTCGGCTGCCATAAATGCTGAAAAATGTCCGCCGTCCAAAGGTTAACTGACGAGTAGAATTTCAGCTTATACAAATACATTTCNTTAATATTGAAACTAATAAAAGAATTAACTTCGGCTGCCATAAATGCTCATAAATATCCGTCCAAAGGTTAACTGATGAGTGCAATTTGTTGTGCTCCGTAAATCTAGTGTTAACTATTAATATTGAAACTAATAAAAGAATTAACTTCGGCTGCCATAAATGCTCATAAATATCCGTCCAAAGGTTAACTGATGAGTGCAATTTGTTGTGCTCCGTAAATCTAGTGTTAACTATTAATATTGAAACTAATAAAAGAATTAACTTCGGCTGCCATAAATGCTGAAAAATGTCCGCCGTCCAAAGGTTAACTGACGAGTAGAATTTCAGCTTATACAAATACATTTCTATACAGATTAGTATGAGATTGATTGACTGCTCGTTTGCTCGGTCGAAACGGAGGAAGTTGTTTCTACGTGGGGGCTCAGACAGTGTCAGTCGAGGGGTCCGACTCTACTTAGACGAGCGTTGGTGTTTACCTGCAGTTTTGGTGCGCATCAAAGGTGATAGCTGATTGATACCCAGTGGTTGGCTAAGTGAACGCCTCAGATTTGTCCGAGTACTCCTCCCTTTCGCGTTACTGGGATCAAAATGAAATCGCCATTAGTATTCATCTCCGTCGGTACACGGTCGGATAGAGGATCAACAAGCTTGTGTTTACGTAGAAGCATCGATACAACATTCAGCAACGAATTACAATAGGTAAGTATATACACACGACAGGTAGAACACGTGTATACAGAGTGGTTCTGGAGATCGGGGCTATCTCGAGCAACCGCACATTACTTTGTCCTCGGATCGCTGAAGTTCTACAGGGAGATTTTCGGGTGAACAGTACCAGAGAATTTGATCAACTATTCCTCGAACGGTACCATTCGTCGTTAGGAACGTCCTATGTACCTTTCATCGATTTTCAACGAATATGACTGTAGTCGACTGACTGGTAGCCTTAATAATTCGAATATAATCCATCAGCATCGAATCTCAAATTTGGACGGAGAGGATCGCGAGAGTTGATCTTAAATGATAATCAAATTATGTACAATTCAAGAAAACGGTACTAACGGAATGAATTCAAGCAAATAAAACATGAGTGCTTTCACGGTGGTTACGACTGTCGAAGGGAGAGAACCACTCCGTACATGGTTACGCGTGGCAGTCCAACTTGTTTTACGAGGAAAAATGGAAAAGTAGGTGTTTTGTTATAATACCCGTCTACCTACCACTATTCTCCCTCGATTTACTGGAAAGGTTCGAGAATAAAGAATTTAAATTTCCTTCAAGGACATTTTTCAAGGAGTCATTTGGATGATTGTCTAATGCCGTGCTATGATTCGTTCCGATCCGAGCAGAAACGAAGTCGGAGGAGTAGAAAAGAAACAGCGTGCCGTCCGTTCGAAATTAGTCGAGTCTCGATTCGAAAAAAAAAAAGGGAAACGTGACGAAAATGAAACGCTAAAAGAAGCGCCTAGATCTTTCCATCGGTCGGTGGTGCAGCGAGTTAAAACTGCGAAGTGCGCGAGTAATTCGCAGCAGGCTCGAGCGATCGTCATATGCGCGAGCATGTCCGTGATGACGATAATCAAAGTTTTGACAATAAGGCTCGCAAATACTCCCCAAAAACGTAAAATCCCGCTAGGCGCCGATTGCTCCAAGTTTTCGAGACTCACAAGGGGAGAAATGGTAATTTCCAATTATAATTACCATTGGGAAATGGTAATTCTTAGCGTCATTTGTGGCAGTTTAATTATGATTCACATTGAAGGGATGGAAACAGCCTCTATAGAGTGGCGCAGCCGGTTACTGTGGTCTATCCAAATTGCTGTGCCTTTGGTTAGTATTCGGGCACAATTAACTTTATATTTATCAATTAAGATATATTAAATTTTTGTATTAAAAAATGAACAAAATAATAGAATAAAAAATAGTTTAGGCTCTGTTCGAATGTCTCTATAGTCTAAAGCTAGAAAGACGGTTCAAATGACAAAATTACGCAATTTTCAATGAGATATCCAAATGCTTCACCCAATTTCAAATATCTTCTGAATTGAAATTAATAAAACTAGTAAATAAATTAATTGTTGCCATAAATACTGTGGCCCACTTTATTGTTAGTTTTGTTTTAATTTCAAGAAGTATATGAGCTCGGTGCTTGCCTCAAGGATATACAAATATTAAACTGCTCAAAATCTGAATAATAGATTTACATTTCTATGTCTTTCAGTTTTAACATTTGACATCATTTAATAACATTTGATAAAAATATTTTTAATGAAATAATATTATGAATGTAGAAATGCTAATTTTTAATTGAGGTGTCTCTAAAACAATCTATGTGTAAAATAACTAGATATGTATTTTCAGAAGTAAAAACCTTTGACGTTAAATGTCTCAAAAATTATTAACAGTCTGCTCCCAAAAGGCCGTACTATTAGCTTCGGTGTTTGAAAAATATTAATATATTAATATACTATTAATAAATTTATAGAACATATAATTATAAATAAAATACGTTATTAAAATATTGATATATTATTATTAATATCATATAATATTAATATATAAAAGCTAGTGAAAAAATCGGAGTTACTCCTGGGGACCTTCCCTTCTCAACCTCAACTTCAGAAAACATTTTCCCCCGTTCGCCAAAATGATGACCGCCATAAGAAACATGTCTCAAATATTTCTCTAATTACCATTTCCCAAAGTTATCCTTACGATTTCGGCCCATTTGCAAGTCTCGGAGGAGTCGCGTTGCTCGCAGACGGCGAAAAGTCAAATGAGTCGTTTGCGATAAGGGTGCGAAGGACCGCGGGACGTATCACGGTCGTTGGACGCACCTTCTAAGCGTAACGATGTCATGGGAGGAGTGCCTCGGGCTCAGCCTTGGAGGCCTCGTCTTGATAGGCGAAGGAGTCGAGAGCATCCTGCGGTAATTGTGCGCGTGGCTGTATCCGGACCTCGTGTCCCACTGGAGTAACCTCTGACCTCCTAAATCGCTGTTCGTCCGGCGTACATGCTGGTGTCTCGAGGACGTTCGGCTCTGCAGATCCGCCTGAAAGTATCACAACATCCTGGTCATCGTTCGCGTTCACCTTTGACCACCGGGTTCGAAGCATGAACTCCGCCGAACATGACGCTGAACGCCAGTCCCCGGGAAGATCGATCGGCACACGGCCACAAGCTGTTTCGCCAAGCTAATGTTCAAGGCGGGATCAAACGGCCCCGGGACTTCGCCGATCAAAGTCCTCGTTGCATGCGCGCGCGCGCGGATCGTCGTGTTTCTACTTGCCTAGCTGAATCACTCAAGCTACCTTGGCACAACTTCTACAACTTTTGGACGAGTTCCTCGGTTTCATCAGACGGCGAACGACATTCTTCGCGCGTGCGAGCTTAACGAACGCGGAAGATCGCTTTGAACTTTCCTCGGAAGATACCGATCCACCGCTCGAGATCATCTTCCTTGGTTCCGCGCGTAATTTAATATATAATTTATCGCTTTCGCGAAGCAACGCGCAATTAGCCGGACAAAGTGCTCGAATCTCCTTATAATTTCCAGGATCCAGAAGGCCGAAAGCAGTTGCGAACTTGCGAGCACGCTGCAAGCTGAATTGCTCCGATTACTCGCGGAACTTTCGCGACGAACGTGGCGAACGCGTTGAAGATGATAAACACGTCCGAGTGCGACGCGACGCGATTTCTATTTGAAGATTCCCCGGACCGTTTCGATCACACCTTGCACATTCGAATACCAATTTCCGTTTAGAAACACCGTTGACATTCATTCGTTAATGAGCCGGACTATGAAGAGATTGTAACGGTTCATCGAGTCGCGGGCTTCGCGATCACCTTGGCAGATGTTCTAGCGATTTTCCGACACGGTACTCACTGCTCGCCGAACGCAGACGTTCATGATTCTACGATTCTCCCGTTCACGTTTCTAGGAGGCTGTGCCTCCTTCGAACGATGATGGAACCCGAACGATCCGACAGGCCGGTGTGTGTACACACACAAGCCTTCGAACACGTATCGCACGGTGTTGATTGTTCGGTCACCTAGATCGGAATAAAGTAAACGACGGCCGCGAACTATGACTCGGCGTTCGGTACGGCGCGATCCCATAAATCGTGCTCGCTCGGCCGCGCAACTCGATATCAACTAATCAGGACTGCGTTTCCTCCGCTCGTATCCTGGCCAGCCCGATATATTCTCTGCTCGCCTATCAGAGACTGCCAGTGATCTGTACAACCGTGGCTAAACCGTATACAAACGTGAGTAATGCGAGTTATTGTTGCCGAAGGAAACAGTCATACCGTGCTGCTTGATAATGATTACAAATGTGTGACGCTCTTAACAGCAATTATAAATCATCGGCGGTAGCGCGGCGACGCGAACGAGGATCACGGTGAAATTCAAAGACGACGCACCGTGAGACACGGGGCCCAATGATTTATAATTCCCTGAATGAGTCGCCGGCACGCACGTCGGAAGCAGAAGCGTTCGTTCCTCGGGACAGATCCTTGATCCTCGTTACCAGAGTTAGCTTTTGCGGTGAATTAGTCCTCGACCGATGGAAAAGTATTCTGCGATTGATACTTCGACACCTTCGCTCTCTGTTACATAGACTCGCGACGAAGATCTTGGATTTACGATTCGAGATCTCAGAGGTCCCCTTTTTTGTCGTTTGTGTTTAGATTTGAGATTTTAAGGAGGACGCTTAGCTGAAAACCAAGTACAGTAAATTCTCCCTAATTGACGCTCGGATTGTACACAAGAATGGACAATTTGGGAAGAAGAGATACAATTATTCGAGCTTTGTGGCTCGTCTTTATAGATACAGATTGTCAACAATTAGGAAAACAAGCTGCAAGGCTCGAATAATCGTATCTCCTTTTGCGAAATTGTCCATTTTTGTGCACGATCTGAGCGTCAATTAGGGAGAATTCAATGTACTTTATTCACTGCATTGTATCAATTTATACGGTTATAATTGTATGCAATCAATTAATGTTAAAGTTCCAATAACTTGAATGGAGCTGAATTTTTTACCGTGGTTTATGTGCTTACACGATATTGAGGAAAATTGTGTGTGGATTTTTCGATCTGATAATTTCTCCACAAGAAAAGTAATTTTTTTAAATGAAAACACTGAAGTTGGAGAGTAAATTTCTACATAACTCGATTCGGCGTAAGAAAAGCGATAAAAACATATATTTACAAAATTTTATCCGAAAGATTGCTAGTACTTGGTTTTCAGCTGAACGCCACCCCTTAAACAGATCTTTTAGATTTAAAATCTCAAGCAGATTCTATAGTTCGTAGATTTCAAATTTGTATCTAGATTTATATACATGGATTTAAGATTTCAATCGAATTGCATAGATTCAAGGTACAAAGTTTTCTTTTACTGTAATTTGCATCCAGATTTTAGATTTCAAATAGATTCTACAGATTTGAGATTTTAAAGGTCTAGTTTTCCCTCATGGGAATACATTTGTTCTTATTGGATGCCCAAGCTACGATCCTTGCAATATTTTGTCTGTTACAGTGTACTTGTAAGTGTACAAAAGTAGCAAAAACATTTAACTAGTATTTCAAGGTTGAGATCCTTCAAGAATAAGAAAGTGCAATCATTGCACTTCATTGTACCCATTAAAAAAAAAAAAGTAGAATCTTAGTAATATTATTAGTAGATTGTAGATCTTTATGCAAAATAAAACTGTTGCACACGCATTTCACAAAACAGGAACTACATAGACATTTACTTCTTTTAATAATCTCAATAAGACACAAATAAGGGGGTTGAATTCTTAAAATCCTCTGATCTTTTCTCTGTTTTCTGTTTCACGTACTCATTTTTGTCAGAACTGCCTAAAATCTGCAGTCTAATTATTATCAGTATAAGATAATATTATAATTACATTGTGGATAAACAATTATAAGGAACAGTGATTGATTAAAAATGTATTTCATCTTCCAACAATTTCAATAAATCAAGAACAACCTGAAAACATTCCTAACATTCTCCCAACGTCTTAAACTCATGGTGTTTCACCTAATCAATTTCAGCATAAACGCATGAACTCCACAGTCTAATTATAATATTCTGTTTCTAACATTTATAAGTGAAAACTCTGTCGCGTCGCGTGCAAAAAATACTTTTCCATCGCAGTGTGTTTGCTTTCCATCGACAAAGACAAGTACAAATAAAGCGACAACGATGTTCTCCAAGTGAATGATGTTTGTTACTGGCGGTGTTAATGGCCGACAATGAACACTGTTGCGTAGCGGGTATCGGGGCCATAGAACGACAAGTCTTTACCTTAAACTTGTCGATCAGTATCTGGTTGATGAGCTCGGACTGGGGTCGTGATTTGTCGGCGACTCGCCTACGAAGGGCTGGAGGGCTGTCGGTCTCGTCTTGGACATCCGTGTCGTGGGACTCGGAGCTATCACCGCCCCCCATCAATCCACCACCACCGCCCCCAGTCAATGCTCCACCAGATACCATCTATATCGTTCACAATTCATTTCATTATTTCGCACTTTTACTCGCAGCCTCCATCGGTATCCGAGCGACGCTTTCGAAAGCAGAAAATTCGCGGGAACTAAATCGGAACACCGCGCGGCGAGACACAGAAATCATTAGAAACCAGCTGCCTAAATTGTTAACCTTTTGAGCTCTGAATACTCCTGGCCGAAACGGTTCGTAGGGACGGAGCGCGGCTATCGTTGACCATCGCTGGGGGCGGAATAATTTTTTGCCACACTGAAGCGACTATTCAAGGCGCAAACAGTAATAAATTATAGTGATTCTTTTGCAGAAGGTTAAATAATTAATCTTCTGATTCAATGTCCGATGATAGTGATTCACTATATTCTATTTCACTGTCGTCCCTTGTGAAATATTCCTCAAGATTTGACATTTTGTAGGGTGTCACGAATAAAAAAAAATATCGAACAAGTTATATTCCGCACTATCGTTGTTGACGCGAGCGAGACCGTGAGGTTCTTACATTCACAAGACGATACTGCTGACTGAGTCGTTTTGAGTGCTTTGAGTCGCGA